CTCTTCTTGTGCTGGTTGACACTCCTACAAAGAATGTGATGTCGATCAGATCACATGCATCAACTGTGCAGGTAATCATCTTGCCATTTCACGAGACTGTCCCATTAAAAAACAAAAAATTGAAGAGAAAAAGGCTAAATTTCGGCAGCAATTGTATGCCACTGTTGTGAACTCACCCCCTACATTAAATGAAAAATCTGTTTTACCTAAGGTGACTGATGAGGCCAATGACACTTTAGATATTAAACAACTGGCAAATAATGATATTGTAATTAATGCAATTGTTAAATCGTTGGTTGCATTAGGAAACAAGAGTGACTCTAATGGGCCACTCACACATAAGATTAAATATTTTTATCAAATTTAATTTAAACATGGATAATTATTTAAATATTTTACAGTATAATATACAGAGTTTACAGAGTAAAAAGAGCCTATTACAAAATTTATTAATTGAAAAAAAAATAGATGTTTGTCTTCTTAATGAGACTTGGTTAAAATCTAATTCTATAATTCCACACTTGCCTACATATAATCTAATCCACAAAAAAAATGTAAATAATAATTCAAAAGATTTTGTTAAAAATGATATTTGGCCTATATACAAAATTCCTTATAATAGTATTATTAACAACTTTGCAATCCACTTGGACACAGTGCACAATCAATTTGATTTGTTACAATTTAAAGACAATAGACCAAAACATTATGTTATATACACAGATGGATCTAAAACAGATCATAATGTAAATGCAGCTTTCTATGATCCACAGCTAGACTACACTAAATGTATTAAATTAAACAGATTATGTAGCATTTTCACTGCAGAATGCTATGCAATCTATTGTGCACTGCAGCATGTACATAGTCTTGTAAATGTACATAATATTTTGATAGTTACAGATTCCAGAAGTGTTTTGTCTGCTCTAACAAACGTAAATATTTCTTTTCAGTTAAATTATATTATTTATAATATTAGACTTTTAATACAAAAACTACTTGATAAACATGTTAAAGTAGAATTAGTATGTGTACCTTCACACAGTGGCATTCGTGGCAATGAAGTAGCTGACACTGCGGCCCGTTCAGACCATGATGAGGATCAATCTGATTTGCTCAAGGTTCCATTCACCGATTACTACAGCCTTTTTAAAGAACGTAATAGACAGTTATGGAAGGAGTATTCCCAATACCCTGGAAACGAAAGGCAGATGGTATGCTGGAATACAAAACGAATTACCGATTAAACCTTGGTATCATAATTTCAAATATATCACAAGAAAATTTATAACTGTTATATCACGCATGAGATTGGGACATTGCTTAACACCAGCTCACCTGTATAGGATTCGCATAATTAACAATAGCCGATGTCATCATTGTGGAGCCAAGGAAGCTGATTTGGATCATATTATCTTACAGTGTACAAGTTTTAACATTCAACGTTTGATTTTGGTCAGTGAACTTTATGAGAACACAGATGACAATGACATTGAAAGTGAACATCAACAAAGTGTTCCTCGCTGCGTTCAGGATTTATTAGCTAATAAGAAAAATTTTAGTGCGATATATAAATATATATACATATATATTTATATACGGTAGAAAAAAATTAGTCCATAGTAATTATAAATGTATATTTCAATTAGTTGTAATTTAGATAAATACTGTAACGATGATATCACTGAGATGTACCCAGCCAAACTTAAAGGGCGGTAAGTTGGTAACATGAAAAACATATTCATATGAAAACAGAATGAATCCTATGTTTATTAATATGGTATATAATGAAAAATGTGACTTATCAATAAGTATCTTCAACTACCTAACTATCCTAAGTAAGTAAACCCATCTATGTTTTCGACTGAAAGACTTGTATCTATGGTCATGAATAAAAATAATTAAAAAAAAAACTACTTGTCTAATGTCTAAATTATCTATAATATGTAGAATATGTACTTATAAAATAAGTTTTCTGCGGATAAGGAGTATTCTGTGAAACATTGTGCACGAAATTACTTAAAGTTAGGATGAAACAGTGGTCTGTAGTACTAAGAAGCGTGGACTCACCATAGAATAAATAATGGAAAGGCTTTCGATGTGCAGAGTTTGTTTACGAGAAGACATTCGTCTGGTTTCGATCGTCGAAACTCATCTACAAGAAATGTACGAGTCTTTGGTTATGATGCCGGTAAGTAATTACAAAATATACATTTAGATCGTGACTGTTTTGTAGAATTTCTCGCTCTCGAGACATGTGTGAGGATCTTCAATATTGTTTTTATACCTTGGCATAATACGAATAGTTTCAAAAGGCCATTATGGGAATTTTTCATGCATTTAGTGACGAATGTGTTGTGCCTTGTTGATAAAAGTGTCTGTTTGAATGAGTTTAAGTATTCAACAACAAAAGCTTGATGATTATCAGCCCTCGTCCACGGCTTTCTCTGCCGTGTATCACTGTTACCATCTGCTTATATTTTTCTTTAAGATAAACGCTGATAAAGTCTGATATTTGAGAATGGTTAAAGCAATATAAATTTACTCTTTAGAGTACTATTTTTCTTACATAGAAACTAACTATAAACTTGTTTTAAAGATTTTACTTTTGATTTGATATGCAGATTTCTTTGGTTGTTTACTAAGTGGGTTTAAATTCAAAGGTAATTAACCTTAAGTGTAGTTATTTCTTTATTTGATTGGTGTAAGCAAGGAAGGCACTGTTGCAAGTAATATACAACTTTATAAGTCTATTTGCAGTTGGAAACTACAGATGGCAGGCCTATACTGGCTTGCTACATATGTAGTGCAAGGCTCAAGAACTGCTATGAGTTGAAGAAGAGCTGTCTCCAGAGTGAGGAGCTGTTCACACAAATGCTGAGGTATAACAAGGTTGGTTATAGTTTCATAACATGAAATTGTCTTTAAATTAAAAAAAAAAACTAGGATGCCATTTCCAATGGGGTCAAATGACATGACATTACTATTTTGTTGAAACTATTTTCAATGCAACAAATACCTTAATTAATTTGTTAAAAATTTGTGGTCAATAGTGATATGTGAGTGTGTGTGCATGTATTTCCATATCTAACACTGCTACCTCTAGAGAATTATAGTATGGGACGTTCCCAGACCGCTTTAAAGATTATTTAAACTGGCTTTTGCATGAAAAAACCTATTATTTTTACATTACAAACGTCTGTTTGTAATGTAAAAATAATAGGTAACATAGAACATAGACAAGTGTTAATATTTTTGTCTTATTTAATATAATTTTTATATATCAAAAATTTTAGAGAAATTTTAGTTAAGCAATGTGAACAACAGAATTAACACTGTCTCTGAGAAATGATGGTCTTAAACTAAATACAATATCATGCCTCGCGAACTACACTGGCTGTAGTCACAAACAGACCACAGCCAGTGCAACTAGGCTGAATTGTCAGTCAATTCAAACTCATGTTGTATCTGTGTTAGTTATATGTAAATAATTTAACTTGCCAACAGCTAAAAGCAGTGAAACTGAAAAAAATAAACAATAAAAAGAGACTCACCATGCACAATGTCCTGCACTTGAGCGTGGGACATGTACTGGAGAATAAGAAGAGACTCACCATGCACAATGTTCTGCACTTGAGCGTGGGACATGTACTGGAGATAAATACGGTTGATGTTGGTGTGGAGGCTCTGACGATTGATGTGAAATTCGAACAAAATGATCCTGAAGGTAATATTTTATATTTAAGTAAAATTTCTGAGTAGTTCTTTCTCTACATCACAAACTCACCCAAATGGGACTCAATGTTGTTTACAGATACCAATGAGAATGCTCTCAAAGAAAACAATGACTCGTACAATGTACAATCTGCAGACTCAGACGATGATCCTCTGATGATTGTGAAGAAAGAACAGTCAAGTAAGTATACTCTGTATTTCTCCTATAAATAAACAACTCTCTCACTAAGAGCGGTTTCTGTGCCGCCAGGTACTTTTTAAACATTTACACTGACACGAAACACCCAGACTTGAAACTATTTGTGGGCCCTAGCACCAAGTTAATGCTTGTACGGGTTTTCTCTATTATCGATTATGGTGAAACGGGCTCTTTTTTGTATTATTGATTTTTTCCCGGTACTTTCTTGACAGAGTAGTACCTACATTTACAAGAGTTATTAACTTCTTTTTTTTTGTTTATTTTTTATGTTAGAGGGGGCAGACGAGCAGACGGGTCACCTGATGGAAAGTGACCATCGCCGCCCATGAACGTCTGCAACTCTGGAGTCACAAACGCGTTGCCGGCCTTTTAGGAAGGAGTACGCTCTTTTCTTGAAGGTTTGAAGGTCGTATCGGTCCGGAAATACCGCAGACGATAACCCGTTCCAAAGATTGGTTGTGCGGGGCAAAAAGTGTCTCGAAAAGCGCACAGTAGTGGAGCGCCAACTATCCAGGTAATGAGGATGAAAATTTTGACGTGTGGAACGATGGCGGAAATTTGCGGCTGGTATTAGGTAATTCCTCGGAGCACTCTCCATGATATATGCGATAAAGAATGCAGAGTGAAGCTACATCTCTACGTAACGCCAACGAATCGAGTCGATCGCAAATCTTTTGGCTATTGACTATTCGAGTCGCTCTTCGTTGGATGCGGTCCAGAGGGAGAAGCTGGTACTGACCAGACTGGTACGGAAAATTTGACCTTACCCTCTAAGTGACCCCGAAACTGGACTTCGCTCTCTGTGTCGATGCCTAGGAACTTCATCAACTAGTGGAAGATATCTACGAATATAGTGATTATATGTACGAGAAAAAGCGTAATAATAAAAATAATACAGCAGTAATAAATACATAATTACAACGTCAAATAAGTCAATTTTAAAATATAAAAAAAAAAAGTAAACATTAAGCATAGCGAGGAAACGCTGAAGTTCCTTGATGGTCTTCGGTGACGCTGCAATTACTGATACAGTACGCCGGGCACGCCACTTCTGGGCAGTGATTTCATGTCGCTTTTTAATGGGCAATGTGCGGGTGTAAACCCACCTATGCCATCTCCATCACCGTTGCAGACATCTTCTACGATGAGACGTTCACCGGGTGCTTATTCTGCCTCCATCGTCACCAAATGTGGTGGGGCGCAATTCACCAAGGAGGAGAATCGAACTTTACGAACCAAGTACGATGACATGACCATGTATGGAAGAGGAGGATGTAGAGGATCCTCTACCTACAGTAGGAGAATAGCAAGCTCATCTCAGGAATTCGCCACGAGGTACTGGAGAGGGAGAAGATAACTCTGAGGATGAGCCAAAAGAATTTGAAACAGTACCTGAGGCACTGAGTGAAAAGAGTTCTACAGCACCAACTAGGACCTTACGGAAACGTCCGAGATTTGTTACAAAAAATACTTTTATGTAGGTATCTTATGTTTATATAAGTAGGTAAATATTTTAATTAGAGGAGGAATGTTAAATTGGTATGTGTTAGTGCATACTCAACTCAAACAATCTTTATTTCATAAAAAAAATTAAATTGTTTGAAATCGTCTTTTATGTAGACTCAAAAGTCATAGATCAACACACACAATAGCAACAATCTCTGTTTTGTCAAATAGTAAGCAAATAAATTTAATAAAAATTAAACTTATACAAAATCTATGATATGCCTGTGCCGATCTACAACCGCCCGTTTCCAAGGGTTTGAGCCTTATGACAAGTGAGGTCAAACAAACTCATGGCCACTCTTTTGCAATTCACAGATAGATACAATGGCATTATTAAATATACACAACATTGTTTTGATGTGTGCCAGTATGTCCGTTAAAAGAGAAAATGAAAATGTAGACATTTTCCTTTCCCTCCATCTTCAGACTTTTTGAAATAATGCCCTTAGTTTTTTTCATTTTTCTCACCAACAGCCTTCTGTACCTGTTTTGAAAGAAAACATCCATTAATATTGCCTGTAAAGTAATAATTTCTGACTTTGTAAATGACTAGTGGCTAGTACAAACAGTTGGCAATTGAAATTAAAAAAAAATCTTTTTCAAATCAGTTAACGAAAATCTATCAAATTTATAATAACATCAGGATTTACATCGTACAAATGGCAGTCCTGCGTATAATAAAGACAATAACATATAATATTGGACAAGGACGATATCTTCCTTGGGGTTATAATAATAGTTAATTCGACGACAAGTGAACAAACATTATACTAACCTTGCGGATCGCCTACATTTTACGTAGTTTTGTTTTTGTCACTAAAACAAAACCACGTTGACGAGTAACGCATGACATGTCGCGTCGTAGTGCGTGTCACAAACTACGTGCGAGAGAGCGTGCAATTCAGACGCAAAACAATAGATTGAACGGCAACGTCGCTCGTAAAACGCCTTGCTGAGTAGATTAAAGTCGGCAATTTGAATTAATTTGCACCGGCTGATGCTTGCGAATCCGCAAGACATTGCGGGATTGCAAGGCCTAAAATTATGCAGGATCCCGCTGGATTGTGCGATCCCACTTGCTGGATTGCAATCGCTATTTTTAGCAAAATACGTTTGATTTTTGAGTCCCTGCTCTCCTAGAAAGTGAGAGGTTTCCCTTCAGTGAGCTAAGCACAGCAAGTGCAAAAATTGCTACACACCAATTTTAGTAACAGCCTCAGAGAAAATCCAGCTCAACCGGAGTGATACTTCACTCCGGTTCAGCCGATCCATACATGCCGCAGCATGGCTCTTCCACGGCATCAGCAAATAAAGAGTAGCCGTACAAACCGAATTGCACTTGTTCATAGATACCGACGAGGATGCTCTAGAAGAGAACAGCGTCTCTGACATCATACAATCTGCAGACTCAGACGATGATCCTCTAATGATTGTGAAGAAAGAACAGTCAAGTAAGTATACTCTGTATTTCTCCTATAAATGAAAAACTCACTCACCCAGGCCCAGAACAACAAATTATGGTTCACACCACTGTTTAATTTATACCAGAATATCTACAATTAAAAAAAAGTTGACCTGACTTCAACACCACGGCCAACGGGTACCAAATAAAAAGTGAAAAATAAACCTAAATGAACCTAAACAAGACATAACTAACTAAATGTGATACTCAATGCAATAGCTATCATTATAAATGCTATAGATACCTTCCGGCCTGTTGGCCTTCTTCTATTTAGAAATCGGTAACAAGTTTATGTAAAAAATATTTGTCTTTTCGGGTTTTTATTTTGTGATTACAGTTTACAAGCTTAGAAATAATCTTAATACTATTTTTATCTTTTATCCAGGTGATCTAACTTTGAAGAGATTTAAAAAAGCTGTACAGAGGAATCCAGAAGATTTAACCTCTAGAAATTTGAAAAACCATGAACTCATACATGATACATTACAAGATGTTACTAAATCCACTGCTCTAGACAAAATGGCAGCAAAAAGCACAAATGAAGTGACATTCACTCTCGCCGATGACAATAAACAGAGACCTACAAGTGTACCGCCCAGCGAACGTGTACAATATACGTGCGACACGTGTCAGCAATGTTACAGCTCTAAGTGTGAGTTAGAGAGACACATTTGCCTAAGCTCTGATGTGTGGAAGAAAGATATCTCACGTGAGAGCGGTACAAGTACTCACACACACACCGCTCAGAGACTACATCAGTGTACTGTGTGTAACAACAGTTTCTCATCAAAGGGTTATTTAAATTTTCATATGCGTAGTAAACACACAAGCGAGAAACCATATTGTGATATATGTAAACGCAAATTCGTATCAAAGAGTTTGTTTACTATACATATGCGTAAACACACTGGTGAGAAACCATATCAGTGTGACAAATGTATTAGACGATTTTCATATCGGGGTACTTTCATATCTCATATGCGTTCACACACTGGTGAGAAACCATATCAATGTGACACATGTAATAAACAATTCGCACTGAAGGGTAATTTAATTGCACATTTACGTACACACACTGGTGAAAAATCCTATTATTGTGATATATGTAAAAAAAAATTCTTAAGAAAGTGTAATTTAGCTATTCATATGCGTACACACACTGATGAGAGACCATATCAGTGTGCTACATGTAATAAACAATTCGCACTGAAGGGTAATTTAATTAGACATTTACGTGCACACGCCGGTGACAAACCCTATCAATGTGATATATGTAAAAACAAATACTTAAAGAAATGTGCTTTAATGTCACATATGCATAAGCACACTGGTGAGAAACCATATCAATGTGACACATGTAATAAACGATTCGCTCGTAGGGTAGACTTAAATAAACATAATTTGTGTAGACACACCGCTGAGACACTGTTTCATTGTGATTTGTGCAAAAGAAAATTCGTATCAAAGTGTTATTTAAATAACCATATGCGGAGTCACGTTGAGAAATCATATCGATGTGACAAGTGTGATAAACAATTCCCAAATAACAGTGAATTAACTAAACATATCCGTTCACACACTGGTGAGAAGCCATATCAATGTGACATCTGTAAAAATAAATACGGATTAAAGAGTGGATTAATTGTCCATATGCGTACACACACTGGTCAGAAACCATATCATTGTAATATATGTGAGAAACAATTCTCACGATCGGATAATTACAGGCGCCATATGCGTATACACACCGGTGAGAAACCGTTTCATTGTAGTATATGTAAAAAACAATTCCCAGACAAGCATAAAGTAAGTATTCATATGCGTACACACACTGGTGAGAAACCATTTCAATGTGATGTGTGTAAGAATTTTTTCTCAGATAAGGGTAACTTAGGGAAACACATGCGGACACACACACACAAGAAACATGTTTGAGGACGAAATGAAAGTCGGGAGCGAGAAATGTTATTCATTTTATTCTTCTAGATATAAGAAATACAATGATTTTTTGTATGAGATGTACTAGTTTTATTTGTAAGCATTACAGTTCCCGACCCGTTTATGGAACTATAAAGGCAAACTATTTCTTTCACTGTTATTAACACCGACCTTCCAGTTTTATTCCTTTTGTTCCTAATAACTCGTATGATAAATATAAGTATACATAAAAGCGAAAATGGCAGTTGTGGGAGAATTGTGGAGCTTAATTTTATATCAGTAAATACTCTTTTACCAGATATTTTTATTTACTTAATATTTCTCATAAAAAAGGCATTTTTAGTAATTGCCTCGATTGAGGGGAGAACGCTTTTCTCCTCAATCGCGGCATAGCGGATCGATTGCATCTTAATGCAATCAGGCTGCCATTAGAGGTCCCCACTCTCTGGTGGCCCGCGGCCCAGTCGACGGCTGATACCGTCGCCGACGTCCTCTACGTTCGGGATCGGCCCTCTCCCGATCCCGTTCAGCGGTCTCTTTCTGGAGCATTACAGATTCACAGAACGAGACCACTGCGCTCCATCCCTCCTCACCCGCCAGCATGGCAGCAATATTTGCTGGTGGGGACAGGTCTCGTCCGATTTGGCCGACCAGGATTTCGCGTTCAGACGCCCACGTGGGGCAGTCTGTGTGCTGGGCGGAGTCCCAGTCGGCTGCGCAATGCGCATTGTGCCGTCTCCTCGCGTCCGATACGATTCAGGTACTCACCGAAGCAACCATGCCCAGTGAGTACCTGCGACAGACGGTAGGTGACGCGACCTCCTTTCCTACCTACCTAAGCTTCAAGGTTAGGCAGAACAGCACCGACAGCGCGTTGGCACGCATTCCGCTGCTGTTCCAGCCGCCCGCGCCGCTGTAGCAGTGCATGTCGGTGGGCGTTCCGCTGCATTTTGAGCTCGTCCTGGTCTTCTCCGCTCTCACCCCGGCGGATCGCCCGAGTCTGGTCTTAGACCCTCGCGTTCATATCCGCCAGGATATCAAGAGGCGGGAAACGTGCTAGGACTGTCGCCGCCTCCGACGATATAGTGCGGATCCGAATGGCCGCTACCCGCTTCGCTTGATTGAGCTTAGCTCGGCAGCGGGAAGAGGCCGATAAACGCTTTGCCCATATCAGCGCTCCGTAAAGGGCCATGGATCGTATCACCGCACAGCAGAGGCGGCGAACTTCCTCCCGCGGACCCTCTAGATTAGACAATAGCCTCTGTACGGAGCCCGCCATCCCGCGAACTCGGAGGATCATCCGCTCAAAATAAACCTCGAAGTTCTAACAGCTGTCCAGGGTGAGGCCGAGGTATTTGATGTGCCGACCGACCTCGACCTCTGTGTCCCCATTCTAAAAATCGAGCGGAATGCACCTCTGAATTTCCTATGGAACCACAAGGCTTCCGTCTTATCCGGTGCAGCCCTTAGACCCAGACCGCTGATCTTTTGGTCGACACAAGCCACCCCTGACTCGGCGAGCACTAAGACCTCCCAGAAGCCATGCCCCCCAGCCAGTATGAGTGTCATCCGCATAGCAGACGACACTCAATCCTGTCTTATATTAACTTTGTTTACAAACAGTTGAATCTAATACGTATTGTTGACCTCTGGCGGCCTCAGGTAACCTACTCTGGGGAGGACCCGGACCATGTGATTTCAGGTCCCCTCAGGTAGGCTTCGCAACTAACTGGGCCTTATTACAAAGTGTTGCGGCCTGATCGTTGTTTGGTGCAATCAGTATGTCCCCTACCGCAGTAATCAATCTGCTACCAAAGGTCCCCACTCTCTGGCAGGCATACTTTGAAAAAAATATATGTATGTCTCGAGCAAATCATTGGATTGATTATTTCTTTATGATCGACCGTTTCAGGCAGCGGTTGGTCCTCAGGATGGCATCATACGCGAGTTTCCACAGAAGAGATCCTAAGACTGACCCCTGGGGAACACCGCATGTGACCTTCATTCGGCAATCTTCGCCGTCCCGACCCGTGTATGATTTGGACCTGTCGCGGCGATAAACCCCGATGATGTCCCTCAAGTAGGGAGGTAACTGGTGATACACAAGTGCCTTCCTAATCGCCCACCACGGGAGAGAGTTAAAGGCGTTGACTATGTCAAGACTGACGGCCAACGCCACTCCTCCCCGACAGACAACCTCTTCCGACAAGGAGCGGACGCGTTCGATCACGTCCAGCGTCGAGCGTCCCTGTCGGATGCCAAATTGGTTGTCTGATAAGTCGGGGCCCACTTGCGACAGGTGCTGGCTCATACGGGCGGCGTTAACTCTTTCAAAGAGTTTCGCCACCTCGTCCAGCAAGCATATCGATGCAGCCCTACCAGATTTTTGGATAAGTACCAGCCTGGCTTCCTTCGAGCCGGCAGGGAATACGCTTTTATGAAGGCAGCTAGTAAACAGCTTCCTCAGCTATTCCCTAGGAGCGCTAAAGCGCACACCCATGCTCGGTCCGGGATCCCATCTGGGCCCGGTGCGGTGTTGCGGGCGATAAGTCGCTCTTCACGGCACGGTCCAGCTCTTCCTCCGTCACGTCTAAGTCGTCGGACCACGTTACCGGGTCCGGTGACGGAGGCACTGAGGGACTACCCTGGGCCCTTGGGAAGAGGGTATCTACAACTCTTCCCACAAACTCCGGGTCCAGGGTCTGCGTCAGCGATGGCACCCACGGTCTGAACTTGCCCAGTACAATTTTGTAAGGGCCCCCATGGGTTCCTGTCCAGTCCTTCTATGAGCTCCTTCCAGGACCGAGCCTTGGCTTCCGGGATCGCCAGGCTAATAGCCTTTGCGGCAGCGCCGTACTCCCGCCTCACTTCAGCGATCACCTTGGCTGTGGCTCGCCGTCGTCTTCGGGCCTTGGCTTTGCTCTTTCGGCCAAGAGCCAAGGCCCAGGTCTCCCCCATCGGCTGAGCCGCGGGTTACATCTGCCTCATTGTCGCAGAGGGAAGCGGCACTTGTGTCTCCTGGGTTGCCCGCTGTTTCCCTTTCCTTCCCCATTTTTTCTTATGTTTACTACGCAAATAGCCGCCGCTGCCCCCATACTAGCTATAGTTGGGGTGGACAAGGTATCCCCTTCTGGGAGCTACTCCTATAACATCTTGGTTCGAACCTCGGCCAATACATACTGGTCTCGGTCCGGTACTGTGCTCGGCTCAGCCTGAGTCGCCGACACCCTACTCTTTTTCAGGGACGTGGTCCTGCCGGATACCAACGAGGTTTTTTGACCGGGCTTAGGGTCCACGCGGCGGAGCTTTTCCACCTCCTTTATTAGGAGGCCATTTGGGAGCGGAGCGCCTCGTTCTCTTGCTTTAGCCTCCCTACTGCGTCTATCTTCGTCTGCGTCTATCGTCTATACAGAAATAATAATAGTATCAAAGTCACCTGTGATAGAACAATGGCTACCATATACATTCATACCTCAGGAAATGGGTCGAAGGACGAGGAGCCCTTCTCGGGTATGTCGCCGGCATGAATTAAAGACTTGAAAATTTGATGTGATCTGACTCAAACCTTACCTTTTTCTAGTGTGCGTTACCCCAGCAAAATAATGTCGAAAATGGTCATTTAAACGTTATACATAATTAGTTGCCCCCCTTTCTGTAATTGTTAGGCACATTTTTAATTTGTTTCCCTTTATTTCTTTTAGTTTTTTCAAAAAAACATTTCCTGCTGGGGTAACGTTTGAAACGTTACCGCAGCCAGACATTTTCTTTTTTAATTGGAATATTGAAATAAATAATAGCTAAATAATTAGTTATCTGGACGAGGTAAATGTTACAACTTATTTGGTATTTGTATTTTTTGGCTTTTTTGGCCACCGACAAACCTGTGTGTGGATATATAAACTGAATGTTATGCCAATAATTAGTTGTTTAGTTCAGTTGTCTACCTGCAGAATTTCAGCGTCGTACATATAATAATTTACGAGATAATTAAATAAAAGTCATTAGAAGGCGCAAGACCGTGGTAACCCGACCTTGTTTAGGTGGTTACAAAAAAGCGATCGCCCAGTACATTGCGCTGTCTTTTAAAATGTTTAGTGTAATACACCTTACGATTTCGGTATAGTTGCGTAAAGTGTTAAATACATTCAATATTTATTCATTATTATTATGTACCTATTATTTATTTAGTTTTTTTTTTCATAATGGATCTTAAGCACTAGTTTCTTTACTTAAAATTTCTTTAGTCTTTTTAACTACCAGAGCTACAATCAACAGAAAATCTGCACTGGCCCGCTAAAATTATAAATATATAGATACATGTATGAACGATTTACCTGACTGCAATAGATCGAAAATTTAAACCAACAAGAAATCGTTTCATTTCTTTGATTTTTTTTTGTAAAGAAATAACACTGAAGGAATTGTACACTCGGTTCCAAAAATTACGGGTCAGTCACAAAAATTGAAATACCTCCAGAACTGTAAAAGTTAGATCAATGAAATAAAAAACAGAATAAAGACTTTAGTTGCGCTTCTTATAGCATATTATTTAAACTGGTTGATGAAAAAAACTTCATTAGAAAAACAAAATTTTAAAAAATGACTATTTTTAAAAACAAAATTTTTGTTTCGTTTCATTATAGATGCTTTCCATTTCTATTCTGTCACAAAAAAAATTATCGTGAACGTCTTCCACGTGCATAATTATTATTCTGTGAGGTGAAGCATGGCAGTCACGCTAGAGGAATGTACCAGAATCCTAACTTTTTTGGAACTTGGGCGGAGCCAGCGTGAAACAGCCAGAAACATTGGTGTATCTTTGTCGACTGTTCAGCGGGTAGTTCAGCGGTACCAAGAGACCGGATCATGCCTTAGAAGACCAGGAAACGGCAGACCAAGATGCACAACGGCCAGGGAAGACAGACAACTGGTGGCTACAATGCTCCGAAATCGTTTTCAAACTGCTGTTTGTCTAAAAACTCACTTTATTCGCTTTGGAGGTGGCAATTTGTAAGTATTCGAGCTCCGAAATTTGGTGTACAGCATGCCTAATCGCCTGGAAGCTGTCAGAAGAGCTCGTGGAGGCAATACAAAGTATTAAATGAAGAAAGTGATGAAAAACAGCAAAAAAACAATCATAAAAAAATGTAATCTTAAGAAAAAATGACTACTTTAGTTTTTTTTTTTAATTTAGAGATAAGTTAAGAGTTAGAGAGTTTAGATTTAAGTTTTATTTTATTTTTTATCTGTATAATTAAATTCTCAATTGAACAGTCTTCGTTTCATTAGGATGGCATACGTAGTTCGGGAGATATTCGGGTTTATGTGACTGACCCGTTATTTTAGGAACCGAGTTTATTTTATTTAGAGGTGTATAGAGCTTAGACTTGAAAGCATCAAAACGACCTATGCTATTAAATTTAAAAAGACGTTAAATTTGTCAGAGAACACAACTTTCCAAAAAATGTTGAAAAAAATTTACTACAATATTTACCTGTCTTCAATTCAGGGAAGTAGGTAAAAAGAAGTCTGGTCGGAGACACACCAACAAGGAAAAAATAATGGCACTGGCGCTGTATAAACAAGGCCCAAGAGCCTACAAGTGACTGAGAAATATATTTGTGCTGCCGACCCCCTTATCATTAAACAAAATGATAATAAGAGCGAGCTTAAAGCCAGGTATCAATGAAAATCTATTTAAAGAATTGAAAAAAAAAAAACCTCAAAAATGTCAACCAACCAAAGACTGTTCATTATTATTTGATGAGATTACCCTTTTTTTTTTTTTTTTTTTTTTTTTTTCCGTGCGGAAATCCCCTCGGATACGATGAGATTGCTAGCACCACATTTTGACTATAAGAGGAGGACAGACACGATAACGAGTTTTCGAATAATGGGCAATGCACTCAAAAAAAGATTGCAGACCATGCATTGGTGTTCATGATAAGGGGCATTCAATACAACTTTAAACAACTCAACAAATACATGAAGTAATTGAAAAACTGCATTTAATTGGTTTTAAAGTATTGACAACCATATGGGATCAAGGTGCCACAAATCAAAGTGCTATCAAAAAATTAATACAGAAAACTAAGGCAGACTATTTACGCCTTAATGAGGAATTTAAAAGAGAAGTGTTTGAATTTAATGGAGAAGAAGTCATACCTTTATATGATCTACCTCACCTACTTAAAGGCATACGCAACAATTTAATGAACAAAAATTTAAAATGCATTATGAAAAATGAGGTTAATGTTGCAAAATGGGAGCATTTAGAAATGCTACTTAAAGAAGATCCTGGTTTTGATGGACTTCGTATGCTGCCAAAATTGACAGAAAGCCATTTAAACCCAAAGAAACTAAAAAAGATGGAGGTGAAATGCGCAGCTCAAGTACTCAGCCACTCAACCGCAATATTCATGGGATATTTAGCAAGTTAGTAATTTTGAAAAACTAAACTTACAGTATATCAGTGTAAATCCCATGCTTTATATTTATCGACATCTCTAACCATGCGCAGTGTTTTATGGGCCATATATTTATTATTCCATATCTTATTTATGGTTGAATAAGTTTAAAGTGTGGCTCCCCGTTAATATATTCTACAGCAAATTAATTGCAGATCAGATCAACCTAAATGGTTTTTGCTTAATAGTTGCAAACCCAACAGGCTCTATATCTTAGATACAAAAATCGTAGAAATAACATAGCACTTCATTAGTACAAAAATAGTAGAAATAACATAGCACTTCATTAGTACAAAAATAGTAGAAATAACATAGCACTTCATTAGTACAAAAATAGTAGAAATAACATAGCACTTCATTAGTAAAAGACAAGAATGTTTTATTTCCTGTATACATATTGGCTTATTGGTCTAGTGGTTTGTAACTGACTGGTAAGGGAAGGTCGTGGGTTCAATTCCCAAACAGGACAAATAATTGTGTGATTAGCGATATCATTAGTTCTATGTTTGGGTATAATTTATGTATAATATTTCTGTATTTAGAATATTTAAGTATGTTTATCAGCTGGTTACCATACCATATTATTAATTATTGTTTTTACTAACGTTAAAAAAATAAAATACATTTATTGTAAGTTTGTTACTCCTTTACACTGCAATAAATTAAAGTGTTAGTTAAAATTTAGAGAGCTTGCTGCTTCTCATCATATCATATCATATACCATATATGATAACTACACTGACACACCAATGTGTGTCATACATATAAGACTGACTTGTAAAATTAATGTAATATATTTCAGGGAAAGGAATATTAGTAGAAGATGCGAGGGAAACTGCCAGAGTACTACTTTTCTTTGATGAGCTATTTGACTCTGTCAATGGAAGCTTCCATAATTTCAAGAAAAAACCAGGCAAAAAGTTGCTTGGTCCTCTTACACCTAATTCCACTCACCAGAAGGTTTGGGATGAGGCAAAGGCCATTTTAAAAACGATGACTTTCATAGATAAAAGCAACAAGACAGGGAACTGCCCCTGTCTTGTGTCCTTGTCTTCTGCCTTCCATTACAAATTGGATAAAAACGATAGAAAATATTGAATATTTAAAATCGAAATTATTTAATAATTTTAATACTAAATCAATATGGCTGCGACACTTGAACCAAGATCCTCTGGAAAACTTTTTTGGATGCATTTGCAGTCATGGATATCGAAATAATAATCCCACATGTGCAGCCTTTGAAGCAGCATTTGTTTCGCTGCTAATTAACAATTTTAGTGGAAGGCACTCCCCTGGAGCAAACTGCGAAAAGGATAGGTGCTCAGTGGTCACCTCTTTAAAAAAAATTTTTTTTTCAAAATTTGCCACCTACTACGTGTTCAGAATTTAAAGAAATTGAAATGGATGACTTAAACCATGAAATAATAAAAAATATAGAAACTAAAAAAAAATATCCAGTTTTATGGTCAGCATTAGAATATGTCGCTATTGTGATACCATTTTGAAATTGGTATTTAGTAGGCATATTTTTAAATGAATGGGCACTGACAGCTTAGTACTTTTTTACAAAAATCGGTCTTGTATCAGCATGATATGTTAAAAATTTGGGTTAAAAGTAGAGTGAAACCAATTTTTTTCTTCAAAAGCTTTAAATTTACATTAAAACATGTTTGCGGTTGCAGCAGTAACTACCAGTAATCAAAATGAAAAAATAATGGTATTTGTTAAAACTACAACCAAATTTGTAACAAGAGGTACATATCGTAAAAAAAATAAAAAAAAATTATATTTCTGGAACCTTTGGGTAAAAATGGATGAAATTGTAAAATGTTATAGTAAATTATCTGGTTTATCGAATCCTTAATGGTGGACCACTATTTACGCCATACCCTCAACTTAACTATCCTAAGTAAGTTTAAACCAATGAGGAAGTAAATATATATATATATATATATATATGTATTCTTAGGTCAATGGTTTAAACCCATTTATGTTTTCGACTAAAAGACTTGTATCTATGGTCATGAATAAAAATAATTAAAAAAAAAAAGCCACTTGTCTAATGTCTAAATTATCTATAATACTTAGAAAATAAGTTTACACCAAAAGTTGTTGTTGTTGTTGTAGAAAATAAGTTTTCTGCGGATAAGGAGTATTCTGTGAAACATTGTGCACGAAATTACTTAAAGTTAGAATGAAACAGTGGTCTGTAGTACTAAGAAGCGTAGACTCACCATAGAATAAATAATGGAAAGGCTTTCGATGTGCAGAATTTGTTTACGCGAAGACATTCGCCTGGTTTCGATCGTCGAAACTCATCTTCAAGAAATGTATGAGTCTCTGGTTATGATGCCGGTAAGTAATTAAAATAAACACATTAAGATCGTGGTTGTTTCGTAAATTTTCTCACTTTCTCACTCTCGGGTCTTCAATATTGTTTTATACCTAGGTATAGTACGAATATGTTCAAAAGGCCATCATGCGAATTTCTCATGTATTTAGTGATGAATGTTGTGTGCCTTGTTGATAAAAGTGTCTGTTTGAATGAGTTTAAGCATTCAGCAACAAAAGCGTGATGATTATCAGCCCTCGTCCACTCTTATATTATCTGCTTATATTTTTCCTTAAGATGAACGCGAGTCTGATGTTTGAGAATGGTTAAACTAATATAAAAGTACTATTTTTCTTACAAGATACATAGAAACTAACTATATACTTGTTTTTAAGATTTTACTTATGATTTGATATGGAGATTTCTTTGGTTGGTTACTTGGGTTTAAATTCAAAGGTAATGGACCTTAAGTGTTTAATTTCCTAATATTCGGCATTGCCTTAATAATTGTATAGTACCAAAAAGCAGCTAGAAGCTGACGGATGATCCTAAATCCTACCGACCAATTACATTGTTACCATTGTTAGAAAAGCTTTTAGAATGTCTTGGATTGCCTCTGCTCCTGCCGTTTGGCGTTAAATTTCATGTTAAATTTCATGATAGACAATTTGGTTTTACGTTGGGGAAATTAACAATTGATCAAAATTTCGATATGTGTTGCCTATGTTTTTAGATATATCTGGTGCCATTGACAACTCATGGTGGCCCATGCTGTTGCTGAAGTTAAAATCACAGGGTGCTTAAAAAATATTATTATTTTAATATATTTATTATTATTATCTTTTCACACTTTTCACAAGGTACAACTAAACTAAGACTTGGTCATCATTCTGTTGAAGGCGCTTACAATGGGATGTCTTCAGGGATCAGTGCTAGGTAAATAGTTGTGGAATATAGGCTTTGACGATTTTCTTGCAATACCTACACCATCCAGATATGAAGCTGAAGCTAGCCGTCGGACATAGCCTGTGTAGTATATGGCACGCCCCTCAAATTCATTTAATACTAAAAATTATAACTTTTCTGCCAACATAAAAGTAATTTGGTATTATTGTATGATACTTAGGCATTAACTATACAAAATTAGGAAGCAATCCTATTGTTGTGAACAGAGTTACATCAGGTTTTTCGTCGAATCGTTCAATTTATCGTTGAATCGTTCAATTTATCGTAAGTCGTGTCTGATTGTTCATTTAATAATAAAAATTATAACTTTTCTGCCAACGTAAAAGTAATTTGGTATTATTGTATGATACTTAGGCATTAACTATACAAAATTAGGAAGCAATCCTATTGTTGTGAACAGAGTTACATCAGGTTTTTCGTCGAATCGTTCAATTTATAGTAAGTCGTGTCTGATTGTTCATTTAATAATAAAAATTATAACTTTACTGCCAACGTAAAAGTAATTTGGTAATATTGTATGATACTTAGGCATTAACTATACAAAATTTGAAAGCAATCCTATTGTTGTGAACAGAGTTATATCAGATTTTTCGTCGAATCGTTCAATTTATCGTAAGTCGTGTTTGATTGTTCATTTAATAATAAATTTTATAACTTTTCTGCCAATGTAAAAATAATTTCGTATTATTGTATGATACTTATGGATTAACTATACAAAATTAGAAAGCAATCCTATTTTTGTGAATCGAGTTACAGCAGGTTTTTGATCGAAATTCAGTATTTTTTGTTAGTTACGTACGTTTACTCATTAATTGTGTTAATTCTATTTTTTCTGCCAAACTAAAACCTATTTAGTATTATTGTACGACTCTAAATTAGGAAGCAATCCTATTGTTGTTAACAGAGTTACATCAGGTTTTCGTCGAATCGGTCAATTTATCTATCGTAAGTCGTGTCTGATTGTTCATTTGACAGGGCAGAAACTGGAATGTCAACAATAGCGAACTGGCTTAACAACAACCTTCTGACGCTTAATTTAAAAAAAAACCAAATTCATGTGCTTCCATAAAACTGCCACCTCTGCTCCACCTATTTCATCCAAACTGAAACTACACACATGTCATAATCCGTCCTCCACTACATGCGCTTGTAGTTACATCGATAGAACTCCTGAAATTAAATACCTTGGTGTCATGGTAGACCAAAAACTTAACTTCCAAACCCACATTAACTCCCTTTCAAACAGAGTAAGAAAAACAACAAATATAATGAGACAACTCAGACATGCTGCCTCTCCAGAAACACTTAAAATTACTTACTTTGCACTGTGTCAATCGCTTCTTACCTATTGCATATCCTGTTGGGGCGGAGCAGCCAAGTCACACATGATTCCATTGGAGGGAGCACATCGCGCTGTATTAAAAACAATGCTCAAAAAACCCAGACTATACCCAACCACTAAACTCTATGAGGAAAGTCAACTTTTAAGTGTCCGCAAACTTTTTATATACCATACCATATTACTTGTGCACAAAACAGTTATTTCATCCCCGGAATATAACGATATGATTAGACGTCGCCTCTTTAGACTACATGTATCTGCTTGTCGCACTAAATTTGCCCAACGCTTTTATCCGTTTTTGTCAGCCTACATTTATAATATTACTTCCAAATTCTGTAACATCCGTCTGAATACAGTACCAGAGAAAAAAATAAAAACTCATGAATGGTTAAGTAAACTCACATATGAAGAGACAGAAAAGTTATTAACTACTACAGCATAAAACATATTTATATATTCAGTTATTTATAATATTTAGAAGTATATTTTATTATATGATTTATAAGGGTTATATTTGTGTATGATTTATGTATGTGATTATATATATTATGATATAATTTGTACCTAATTTAAAGGGATCTCTTAATTTTAAGCATAATTTTTAAGCATTTATTTTTGTTGAATTGTCCAATTGTTTTATTTTAGGTAGCTCATGAAGGATTAGTTATTTTATTTTATTTTTCTGTTTTTCTAATTTGTTTAAAATTGTGAAGTGCAGGAGCTCTATACCTTAATGTAAATACGTTTGGGCTGGGACCCCACGATACAGGCTTGCCTAGTGTGGGGACCGCGTTAATATTTATCTGATAAGATCTGCTACACTAATTTCATGTCTTGTTAAGTACTTCTGTAATTTATTTTCTTTGTGTTTCTAAATAAATATTTTTTCATTTCATTTTTTTTTTTTTTTCATTTAATAATAAAAATTATAACTTTTCTGCCAACGTAAAAGTAATTTGGTATTATTGTACGACACTTAAGGATAAACTATACAAAATTAGGAAGCAATCCTATTGTTGTGAACAGAGTTACATCAGGTTTTTCGTCGAATCGTTCAATTTATCGTAAGTCGTGTCTGATTGTTCATTTAATAATAAAAATTATAACTTTACTGCCAACGTAAAAGTAATTTGGTATTATTGTATGATACTTAGGCATTAACTATACAAAATTTGAAAGCAATCCTATTGTTGTGAACAGAGTTATATCAGATTTTTCGTCGAATCGTTCAATTTATCGTAAGTCCTAACTTTTAAACTTTCGCGTTCCATGATAATTAATATTATTTAACGGGAATTAACGCGATCTCTTATTTAGGGTATTACATACCTCTGGTTTGCCTGACGTTTCGACCAGGTTGCACCGGCCGTGGTCACAGGCTGACTGGCTCAACGGCGCACGCCCTCCGTCGTCGAATCCGTGAAGTAGAAGGCTCTTCATCTACCCGCACATTTTCGA